CTCCTCTCAGCTCACAGAGGAGTGCTCCTCTCAGCTCACAGAGGAGTCTTCCTCTTGCTCGGATAGCTTCAGACCATTGACAGCACAGTCATTGTCTGCTCTCCTCTAAGAACTTTAATATTTGATTTATTTTAGGCTTTTAGCTTCTTTGAATACCTTTTCCTTTCTATATAGCCCAGGCTAACCTTAAACTCTTGGGCTTGATCCTCTTGACTCAGCCTCCTGAGTACTGAGATTAGAAACATGTCCATCATGTCCACTAAAACATTTGCACTAATGTCTTGCCTATGTTATTCTGCTGATCTTCCCAATCAGTGGAATATAGCCACTCTTCAGCTCCCCAGCTCTGGAATATAGTTTGCAGTCCACAAAGCTATACAGATGGTGCATATACCTCAGATACTGAAGCAGAGAAATATAAGAAGGGATGTTTTGGGGAATAAAGTTAATAGTGAACTGTAATTATTCGTTAGGCTAGGCACAAGCATGCAAACAAACGATACAGTATGCACCCCGCACATTGTAGGGCCTGGGTACACAGATCTAATAATACCTTGCTCGTCATTAGTCCAGAAGGATCTTGGGTCTGGCTTGGTCAGGATGTTGGAATGATTACATGGTTCTTTCACCTGGAAAAACATAAAGAGAAAAGAACAGCTGTGAAAATCAAGTCACCATGTCACTACTTCTAGGCCTATTGTTCTAGGGTAGATGTTCCAGAGTTAAGGCTTGTACAACAGCATACTGGGCCAGAGCTGGGGTGTTTAAGACTCTGCTGACTGTAGCTCCAAAGTCCCAAATGTGGGAAACCCTTTAATTCTAAACAATCTGAGATTGTTGCTCACCCACGATAGAGTAGCTGTCAGGCTAATAGCTAGATAAGTAATTGGGAGCTAATTTTCCCTCTCTGCTCTGTCAGTGCTATGTACAATGCACAGACGACACAACTGCTGCAGAGGGCCACAATGATGACACAAAAGCTGTTTCAGATCTGTCTGTAACTGTAGTAAATACTGCCTATGAAAATGAATAGTAATGAAGTAAAGAAATTTGAAGTTCTTTGGGCATGGTGGCACAAGCTTTTAATCAAATCATTTAGGAGACAGAAGTAGGAGCCAGAGGGCAGCTTGGTTTACATAGTGAGTTTCAGGCTAGCCAGGAGCACATGGTGAGACACTGTCTTTAACAATAATAATTTGTAAACAAAAATAAAATGAAAGAATTCTTCTTTTGTAATTTGTAAAGGCTAACCCCGGTCATCAGCTTGATGACTCACCTGGGAGATGACCTTTTGAACATGCTTGTGGGAGAATATCTCAATTAGGTTCGCTGAAGTTGGAAGACACCTCCCCTCACCCTCCACTCTGGACAGCACCATTCCCCTGGTTGCTGGGATTCTGGACTTCTAAAGATGAGAAACAGGACTTCTTTGTCTTTGCTTCTTAGCTGGATACAATGTTACCAGCTGCCTCAGGCTCCTGCAGGTGAGGCTTTTCTACCTTGATGGAGGAAGTACTCTCAAACTTGAAGCCTAAATAATCCCTTTCTCTACCAAACACCTTTTGTCAGACACTTTCTTGTAGTAACAAAAAAGAAACTAAGACATAGGTACAGTAGAATCTTTATATTCTTAATTTATATGGGCATATGTAATAGTTGCTATTTAATTTAGAGACTCTAGTACAGAGTTAATTTATAATCCTAAATTTTTCAAATTATCATTTGTTGAGACAGAGACTCACTGTACTGCTGAGGCTTGCCTCACTCTTGCGGGTATCCTCCTGTCTCTGTCTTAGGTTGCTTATCATGTTTTCCAAGGAGCTGCAGTGATGCCTTTTGGCAAGCAACATCATACTCTCTTGATGTATAGATTTCAAATATGCCTTTACTTAATGGGATATATCTTTTTTTTTCCCTTGGTTTTTTGAGACAGAGTTTCTCTGTGTAGCCCTGGCTGTCCTGGAACTCACTCTGTAGACCAGGCTGGCCTCGAACTCAGAAATCTGCATGCCTCTGCCTCCCAAGTGCTGGGATTAAAGGCGTGCGGCACCACCGCTCAGCTTTAATGGGATATATCTTAATGGTAAAATGGTAAAAACTCTTTAACAGGATATTCTGAGATCTGGATCTTTGAATCTTTAGTCACTGGTTCCAGTTCACAACTTTTTGTTTTGTTTGTTGTATCGTGGTCTTGCTCAGGCTGGCTTAGAACCCCTGCCTTTACCTCTTTAAAGTGCTGGGATTACAGGTGCACATCACCCACCCTGGATTTGGCTTCCTTCCGAGGCTTACACAGCATTTTGTACTTCTTTTTTCTTTATGTAGCAAACACCTCAAGTATTTGAAAATTGTCATTGTGTCTCATGGTAACCTAATCTTTCCAGGTTGATAGTCCCTTTTCCCTTTAGTCAGTGCTGTTAAGTCTCTTTACTGAGGTCACTGACTTAGAAGACATCCTTTCTGCAATATGAACTTGTCCTTGAGAGTTCTTGGTCTTGTGCCAAGTAGTCCCTGAAATAAGGTACTGATCTTGAAGGATAGCTCCCAGGTAGGACCGCCAGTGTTCTGCATCTGTGAGCAATCAGAATGTTCTAACAGATATGAACTTAACAAGAGTAAAGAATAGTCTATTTTTTTTGCCACTTCTTACACCTTTTACCTGCAAAAAGTTTTCATTCTTTAAAAACTATACCTAGTTGGGCAGTGGTGGCACAGCACTTGGGAGGCAGAGGCAGGCAGATTTCTGAGTTCGAGGCCAGCTTGGTCTCCAGAGTGAGTTCCAGGACAACCAGGGCTATACAGAGAAACCCTGTCTCAAAAAACCAGAAAAAAAAAAAAACTATACCAATATGGAAAATTACCATATGCTAACAGCTGTAACTATGTTGTGCCCCTCCCCCCACCTTTATACAAGGGTGCTGTTTTTGGGGAGCTCATTTGCTTATGAATGATTTCACATTAATATTTGCTCTCAAAATGTCTTTTATGTGAGAGAGCATTTCCTGTTCATTCTAGAGACATCAAGAATCCTGTGTTCTCTTTATTTGTGGCAGGAGAGTATAAACAAGCCATTTTTCATGAGTCCCATACAGAGTTGTTTAAGTATGTACCCATGAATCATTATGCCCACTGTCAGGGTTAATTAACCATGTGCTGTAGCTGGAGATACTCCACAGAAGTGAGAAAATTCATTATTGTAGATCCTGCTGTGTCTTCATGGGATACCTGTCTCTGAAGTCAGGTCAAAACCAAAGAAATACCAAGTGCCTGGGACATGACTCCTCTAAGGGACAATTTGGTTTCTTCCAGATAAATATTTAAGAAGATTTCTTTAATGAGATTTCCACTCTAAGGGTGACAATGAAAGAAAGGTAACCATCCTATGGAACTCTTAAATGTGCTGCTATGGAACATTCCAAACATATCCCAGGACATTCATTTTCTAAACCTCTATTTACCTACTGTCCAGTTTACAGAGTTATCAACACATAGCTTGTCGATTTCATCTTAGCTGCCATTTAATTATCTCGTCAGGTACTTAATTAGCCTTTATAGTCCAGGATTCCATGAATTAATTAGCAGTGATAACCAATTGAGAGATAGTCTTTTACTATTATTATGTATTAATTATCATCAGTATTATTATCTGTCCAGCCTAGTGTTTATTTGGTTTTCAGGGCTAAGGATTGAGCCGTGTTCTGCCTCTAAGTTACAGATTAGTTCCCAGAATCCAAGTCTTGACTGTATATTTCAAGTTATCACCTGAGAACTAACTTGAGTTTCTTTTTTTTTGGTTTTTCAAAACAGGGTTTCTCTGTGTAGTCCTGGCTGTCCTGGAACTCACTCTGTAGACCAGGCTGGCCTCAAACTCAGAAATCCGCCTGCCTCTGCCTCCCAAGTGCTGGGATTAAAGGCGTGCACCACCACTGCCCGCCTAACTTCAGTTTCTTAAGACTCAGATATGTATGCAAATTAATTCAGTTGTTTAGGTTCAGTTAATGGAAGGAACATGAGAACAGTACTTGGAGCCACAGCACAAGTGTGGACAGAAGGACAATCCTCACTCTTGTGAATTTATTCCGTGATGCAAGTAGGTGGCAGGGTTAGGCAGTGGGGTGATAGGTTTTGTTTTGATTCTCTATAAAAGCTTATTTTCTTACATATTTGTTTTCAGTAGTACTCACATTAATCAATGATTGCATATCTGCCTTTGTAAGTTGTAGTCATAGCAGAAACCAGAAGACAGCCTTTCAAGATATCTAAAATGGGTGCTTGGAACCATGCCGAATCTATACTTTCACTCCACTTCACCTACTTAGGTTTCCTGTGCAATCCTGCAGGCATTTGTGTTTCCAATTGAGAGTCGACAAAGGCCAAGATATCTTGCCAAACTTTTGTGTTTTTCTACTCCGCAGCACTTGACTAAGTTCTTAAGTAAAATTTCCTTGCAACATGGTGTTTGTAGACTGTGTCCCATTCAGAGAGACAGCAATCAATGAGTGTTTATTGACCCAATCATTGATTTGGTGAGACTCAAAGTGCATTAAAGTTGCTAAAGTTAATGCTATCAGAGAATCTCAGTATCTGTGTCTAGAAAGAACGTCACAGATGATTTAGTTGGGTCTGCTCAATCAATAGATGGAGAGAGACTGTAAGGAAAGAAATGACTTAGCACTGGAGACACGGGTAGGTAGGTGGGGGGATGTGGTGTTGGCCACACAGTTTGATAAGAGAAGCTCCATGCGTTTCTCTTAGATCATGGTGGGTAAAAATAAATACAACTGGAATGTGGGCTTTGGAATTATATGGACCAGGTTAAAATTAAGACTGTCTTACATTTAACCATATGTGGTACACACACACGCGCACACACACACACACCAGGGGGTGAAATTGGCAGAGTTATTATCATCCATGTTCAGACCATCAGACATGTCTACAGGTTGACCAGGAGGCTGGAAGATGTGAGGAAGTAGAAACTTTTGATGGAAGAACTTTGCTGTTAAAAGCTCATGTCTGCAATTCATCTCGGCCCTCACAAGGTGGAGGCAGGAGGCTCAGCACAAGAGTTTGAGGCCATCTTGGCTATAAAGTGAGTTCCAGGCTAGCTTGAGCTACAATGTGAGATACTTTTTAAACGTAAAGAATAAACTTTGCTGTTTATTAAATACTACACATATAAGGCATTACAAAGGCTTCCCTACAGAATTGCATGCACTAATTCTTCACCCTGGACCTTTCTTCCATAGGTATTCAAACACTTGTCTTCACCTATGAGCTCAGATATCCTCTTTCTGTCAGTCTTCTCTGCATGCTCCATGGAGATGGAAGTTTCCTTTCTCTTTCCTGCCTATTTTTTCCTGTGTTACTGATTATATACTGAAATATAATTTTCTCACTTGTTTTCTTTGTGGCATTTTATAAACACTGAGTACTTAAAAGGGGTACTTGATACACAGTAGACATCCATAAGTATTTGCTGAATGAAAGAATTTTTTTTTCTTTCTTTTTTTTTTCTTTCTTTCTTTTTTTTTTTTGGTTTTTCGAGACAGGGTTTCTCTGTGTAGTCCTGGCTGTCCTGAAACTCACTCTGTAGACCAGGCTAGCCTCGAACTCTTGAACTCAGAAA